AAAAAGGTAAGTAACTCAGCCAGCAAAATAGAGTTTATTCAGGAATAAAGGAGTTCCAGTTCGGGACAAACTAGGGCAAGCTAGGAGCAAAGGAATACACAGGAGGAGAGCTACTTTTATAGAGGAAAGAAAGAAGTTGGGCAGGATTGTGCCGAACAAAAGTTCATTGGAGGAAAATGAGAGTTTGAAATGGGGGCAGCTTCTCATTGGCTGCAGAGGAGGACAGCGTGCTGTTGCTGGGCGGAAAGTAAATACACTTCTTCTGGCTGGGACTATGCAAGCCGCCACAAATGGTACTGGTAAGAGCCCTCCCTTCGTGGCTTCCTGACTCCCAATTTTTAGTTAGGTTTCCTAAACACATTCTCACATTTCCAACAAGCTATTAGAGGTTGAGAAACCAAGTTTGGCAGCCCCGTTAATTTGAGAAGGTATAATTAAAGGAACATTGTCTCTTAAATCAGAGAAGCCCATGAAGAATTTCAGGTTTGCTGCTCATGAAGTCATTGGACCACTAGTCCATTAGGAAACTGGAAAAACAATTCATTTAATACAGATATGAGCACATATAATAATCCTGCAGTGATTTAATGATATACTGACTTGGAATTATATGATTGCTTTCTATGGAGGATTAATTCAGAGTTCTTTCTCTCTTTGGCATTGAGGTTGTGCCCCTGTTAAACCTGAACTTTCAAAAATTAGTAGTTTATTTGAACTCAAATTTTACGTGGGAGAATAATGAAATCCTAATTATTTTATCACCAAAACATTTCTAGGGAGCAGATTGACATTTTTTTTCAATGAAACATTATTTTTGTTACAAAATGTTTAAGTATCCCTATATATATATATTACATTGTACATAGTCTTCCAGAATTGCCAAAAAGAAGAAACTAACATTTAAATATATTTTGGAAGAGAAAGTATTCATTCTGCACTGTTTTCAGGATGGAATAGTTTAAACTGTTCCCAATTCTATCAAAGGATGTTCTTAAATATTCTTTAAAAATCCAATCATAAATATTGTCAAAATGGCCATCCTGCCTAAAGCAATCTACAGATTCAATGCAATCCCTATCAAAATACTGACAGCATTCTTCAACAGACTAGAGCAAATAGTTCTAAAATTCATATCAAACCACAAAAGACCCCAAATAGCCAAAGCAATTATGAGAAGGAAGAATAAACCAGGGGTGATTATGCTCCCCAACTTCAAGCTCTACTACAAAGCCACAGTAATCAAGACAATTTGGTACTGGCACAAGAACAGACCCATAGATCAATGGAACAGACTAGAGAGCCCAGGTATAAATCCAAGCATATATGGTCAATTAATATACAATAAAGGAGCAATGGACATACAATGGGGAAATGACAGCCTCTTCAACAACTGATGTTGGAAAAACTGGACAGCTACATGCAAGAGAATGAAACCGGATTCTTGTTTAAACCCATACACAAAAGTAAACTCAAAATGGATCAAAGACTTTAATGAAAGTCATGAAACCATAAAACTCTTAGAAGAAAAAAAAACTCTTAGAAGAAAACATAGGCAAAGCTCTTGAATATAAACATGAGCAATTTTTTCCTGAATGCATCTCCTTGGGCAAAAATGAACAAATGGGATTATATCAAGCTAAAAAGCTCTTTACAGCAAAGAACACCATCAGCAGAACAAAAAGGCATCCTACAGTATGGGAGGATATATTTGTAAATGACATATCCAACAAGGGGTTAACATCCAAAATATATAAAGAATTCACATGCCTCAAACCCAAAAAGAAAATAACCCTATTAAAAAATGGGCAGAAGATATGAACAGACACTTCTCCAAAGAAGAAATTCAGATGGCCAACAGGCACATGAAAAGATGCTCAATACCACTAATTATCAGGGAAATGCAAATTAAAACTACAATGAGATATCACCTCACACCAGTTAGGATGGCCAACATAGAAAAGACAAGCAACAACAAATGCTGGCGAGGATGCGGAGAAAGGGGAACCCTCCTACACTGCTGGTGGGAATGTAAACTAATTCAACCATTGTGGAAAGCAACATGGAGGTTCCTCAAAAACTAAAAATAGAAATACCATTTGACCCGGGAATTCCACTCCTAGGAATTTACCCAAAGAAAACAACTTTTCAGATTCAAAAAGATATATGCACCTCTATGTTTATCACAGCACTATTTACAATAGCCAAGAAATGGAAGCAACCTAAGTGTCCATCAGTAGATGAATGGATAAAGAAGATGTGGTACATACACAATGGAATACTATTCAGCCATAAGAAAGAAACAAATCCTACCATTTGCAACAACATGGATGGAGCTTGAGGGTATTTTGCTCAGTGAAATAACTGAAGCACAGAAAGACAAATACCAAATGATTTCCCTCATTTGTGGAGTATAACAACGAAGCAAAACTGAAGGAACAAAATAGCAGCAGACTCACAGACTCCAAGAAGGGACTAGTAGTTACCAAAGGGGAGGGATGGAGGATGGTGGGGAGGGAGGGAGAAGGGGGTTGTGGGGTATCATGATTGGTGCACATGGTGTGTGGGGGTCACGAGGAAGACAGTGTAGCTCAGAGAAGACAAATAGGGACTCTGTGGCATCTTACTACACTGATGGACAGTGACTGCAATGGGGTATGGCGGGGACTCGATAATAAGGGTGACTGTAATTGCCACATTGTTTTTCTTGTGAAACCTTCATAAGAGTGTATTATCAGTGATACCTTAATAAAAAAATCCAATCATAAATTCAGATTCACTTAAATGTCCCCAAAATAGAAAGGAAAAAAAGCTGAGTTTTATCCTTGAGGGCATCGCCACTCCGAGGTGTTTCAAGATTACCAAAATGTGATCAACATCATTATATAAAAATCTTCTGTGGCTACCCGCATATAGGAACATTCAATAATGGAAAAAGATGGTCAGCATTTCTTCAAAAATTTTAAATTCAGATGAAGGCAAAGAAGACATAAAGCAATTATTTGAATATTTCTAACTCCTCATTTTCATCTGAGGTTGTGAAACCAATCTCACTGCCCTCTCAACACACATGTTTAGAATGAGATCTTCTAAAAGAAATACAAGAGCTGAAAGAAAGAACTATATACATACAAAATACTTGCCTGGCTTCATAACTAAAGTGTTCCCTTTCCTAATGTATTCACTTGAGTTCAATGGAGTGTTAAATTTTCCTATAATCTTCATTTCCAAAACAAATCGTACCAATACTAGACAGTATGATCTCAAAAAATGAACAATGGACTTGAACAGTTATTTCTTTAAAGAAGATATACAAATGGCCAATAAGCACATGAAAAGATGCTTAATATCAGTAGTCATAGGAAAAGCAAATCAAAACCACAATGAAATACTGCATCATACCCTCTAAAATGCCTATTTTTTTATTAAAGTATCATTGACGTACAATCTTATGAAGGCTTCACATGAACAACATTGTGGTTTCAACTTTCACCCGTATTATTAAGTTCTTACCCCTCCATTATAGTCACTATCAGCGCAGTAAAGTCATTACTTGCCTTCTCCATATACTGCCTTCCCTGTGACCTACCTACATTGTGATTGTAAAATTCCTATTCTTAAAAAATAAAAAAGGAAAATAAGTGTTGGTGAGGTTGTGGGGAAATTGGAACCCTGGTGCATTGCTGGTGCATATAAGTGGTGCAGCTGCTGTGGAAAACAGTTTAGTGTCCCTCAAAATTAAACAATTAAAATTTAACAAAAATTAAACAGCAGCATTATTCACAATAGTAAAAACGTGAAAACAATCCAAGAATCCATCAAGTGATGATTGGATAAACAAAATGTGGTATAAACATACTGTGGAATATCACTGAACCATAAGAAGGAATGAACTTCTGACACATGCAGCAACATGGGGAAACTTTGACTTATGCTAATGAAATAAGACAGTCACAAGAGGACAAATATTGTGAACCCACTTATATGACATACCTGGAATAGGAAAACTCATAGTGGCAAAAAGTAGAATAGAGGTTACCAGAGCTTGAGAGAAGAGGAAATGGGGAGTTATTTTTTATTAGGTACAGATTTTCTGTTTCAGATCATGGAAAATTCTGGAAATGGATAGCAGTGATGGTTGCACCACATTGTGAATGTACTTGATACTATGGAATTGTGTGCTTGAAAATGGTTCAACTTATATATATTCAAATGGAATATATGTAAATCTTATATATATCTTATTACAATAAAAAGATACACAAGAGGATTTAAAGCCTTTCAAGAACATCTTCCACTTAACTGAACGTTTCTCAAGTTTTGGTTTTAAATCTCAACATCTTAAAGATGTTTACATTGTTTACGTGGATCATCTTTAATATTTCGAAACACAAAAATTTTTAACACTGCCTGTAAACAAAAATATGCATTTCTACGAGACAACCACATCCCCAAATGGGACTGCCAATGTAAATGTTTCGTCCAGAATAGGTCTAGGTGAACTTCGTTCAAGGTTACACTGACACTAAAATGCTTTCACCCCCACTGTAGCCTGGGGCCTAAGAGAAGCCTCCCAACAATACCCAACTCCAAAAGGAGTTCCTCACCCTCTGAAAAGGCACAGGTCTAAGATTCTCTGGGCGGTTCCAAAGTATTCTGGGAGTTAAAGGAGGGATCAGGTGCAAAAAAGAACTGCTGGCACTTGGTGAGCAGAGGCTGGGTTTAGGATTATCACCCGGTTGCTGAGCGACTTCTCAAATCTTCCCATCAACGCCATTCCTTTTCCCACCCGATAGGCCTGCGCTCCATCCCCTCCGTCCTATTAGCCAATCACCGGGCTGGTGATTGCCAGTTCGGTCCAATCCCGGACACGGTTACTTTGAGCGGGAAAGGCTCCGAAGCTGCGGAATAAATTGAAGTCCGCTAACCGCCCCTTCTTGGCCTTATCACTGGGGCAGGTGGCCCTGAAGGCTGTTGCCCATTGGCTTGGCTGCGGGCCAATGATGGGGGTACAAAGAGGGGAGCGGCCTCACAGGAGAGGCTGCGGGGCTGGGCGGGCCGGTGCCGGGTCGCGAGCTCCGGGTAGGCCTGTAACGGCCTCTGCCCCTGCCCCTCCCTTCCCACTCTAGCGCCCCCCATCGCACCCACAGACCAGCTCCAGGCAGAGCCCGGGGCGGTGGTGGCGGCAGCGGCGGGGTGCGGGCCGAGGGAGTCGGGCCCCCCCTCACTTCCCATACCCCAGGAGGTGTACCTAGTCCAGGAGGGGCTGCGGGACCCCATGGAGGTGAGAGGCGGCGACACCTGCCCGTCCTCTTCCCCGCAGGCCTGAGGGAGGGACTTGAGGTAACCGGTGGGAACCGTCAGGGTCCGGTTGGCGACCAGGCGAGAGGATGGCGACGGTGAGGAGAAGCTGAGGGGCGGGAGCGTCCCTAGACGCTGTTCTCTGACGACACCGGGGCCAGGCGGGAAAGGCCAGGTCGCCGGTGAGGAGCCCCGACCGGGAGCCAGAGTCGCACCGCGGGGGCGGCGGCAGGTCGGGCCCAGCTGCGGGGTGGCGGCGTGGGCTGACTGGGCGACCAGGCTGGGGCTGGGGTGGCCGCGGCTCTCGGGCTGCAGCCGTCGCCTACTCGTCGGGCAGAGACGACGGCCGGCTGCGTGGGCCAGTCAGGGTCGGCGAGTGAGACCCCTGGGGGTCGGATCGCAGACGGCTGGAGGCAGAGAGGGAAACCTGGGGACGGAGGCGCGGGCTCCCAAAGTGCTGTCCTCGGAGAGGACTGTCATTGAGTTACGCGAACGGTGGAGGTGGCAAGTCGCCTGGCCGTTTCGGTCATGGCTTTACCCTGCGTGACGTTTCTCCCATTTCCTATTCCCGTTTTGTATAGCCGAAAGTAGTGGTCCGTGGAGGTGCGAACCGCTGCTGGAACCTCAGCGCCGACACCAGCCGATTAACAGACGTCCTCAACGGCGTGATGTTGACTGGCTCCACTGCCTTCTACGATTGCCGCAAACCTCAGGTCCACCCTTTGTTAGATAGTTTATTCTAAATCAAATAAATTTACCCGCAACGATTCACACAGGTGTTTAAATTGCTCCAGGTTTAGGACCAGAAAGCCGGTAACAACATTTGAAATACTTATGCCTTGCCAAATACGTATTTTGCCTTGAAAACAAGTTCAGAAATAAAATTTTTCATTGCTTTTCACCTCGTCCTCATATAACATGATGCTAGAAATATAAGAAAATCTACATTTGCTTAGTAAGTCCATAAAATACTTTTTCTTTCAATCGTATTATTGCAAGTTAGTACAAACCATTCTTTTGATAACTTAAAGGTGAAATTTTTCTTTACCTTTTAGATGTTCTTTTATTTCACCTAAAACGTTTGGTTATGTTAATCACATTTAGTTAGACTTAGGGTAATGTAAGACATTTTCATTTGAAATTATTTAACTAGGACATAAATGTTGATAGTTATACTTTTAATTTTAATAATATCCTGAAATAATTTTATTTAATCCATACCACAACTTTGTATAGTATTATACCCACTGTACAGATTGGGAAACTGAGGCTCAGAAAGCTTGATTTGTGCCCTAGGTGACAAAGCCCAGGTCTTTTCACTACCAAGACCAGTATTCTGTGTTTACATGGCTACTAAAATTTAATTGGATTTAATTTCAGTCCATTGTTTTAAGTATATCAAGGATATAAATGATAAATGTTGCAGTTACCTAAACTAATTAATATGCCAACCTCAATCCTTTGCATATTTAATTTCCATAAATGTTTTAACTACAAAGGATTCTGATAAAGTATAATTATCATTTTTTTGTATCATTAATCTACAATTACATGAGCAACATTATGGTTACTATACGCCCTCCATTATCAAGTTCCCACCACATACCACATTACAGTCACTGTCCGTCAGTGTAGTAAGATGCTGTAGAATCACTACTTGTCTTCTCTGTGTTGTACAGCCCTCCCCGCCCCCCCCCACATTATGTCTGCTAATCATAATGCCCCATTTCCCCCCCTTATCCCTCCCTTCCTACCCATCCTCCCCAGTCCCTTTCCCTTTAGTAACTGTTAGTCCATTCTTGGGTTCTGTGAGTCTGCTGCTGTTTTGTTCCTTCAGTTTTTTTCTTTGTTCTTATACTCCACATATGAGTGAAATCATTTGACACTTGTCTTTTTCTGCCTGGCTTACTTCACTGAGCATAATACCCTCTAGCTCCATCCATGTTGTTGCAAATGGTAGGATTTGTTTTCATCTTATGGCTGAATAATATTCCACTGTGTATATATGTACCACATCTTCTTTATCCATTCATCTACTGATGGACATTTAGGTTGCTTCCATTTCTTGGCTATTGTAAATAGTTCTGTGATAAACATAGGGGTGTCATCTGTCTTTTTCAAACTCGGCTGCTGCATTCTTAGGGCAAATTCCTAGGAGTGGAATTCCTTGGTCAAATGGTATTTCTATTTTCAGGTTTTTGAGGAACCTCCATACTGCTTTCCACAATGGTTGAATTAGTTTACATTCCCACCAGCAGTGTAGGAGGGTTCCCCTTTCTCCACATCCTTGCCAACATTTGTTGTTGTTTGTATTTTGTGTGGTGGCCATCCTTACTGGTGTGAGGTGATACCTCATTGTGGTTTTAATTTGCATTCCTCTGATGATTAGCGATGTGGAGCATCTTTTCATGTGCCTGTTGGCCATCTGAATTTCTTCTTTGGAGAAGTGTCTGTTCAGATAGATCCTCTGCCCATTTTTTAATTGGATTATTTGCTTGCTTTTTGTTTGTGGAGGTGTGTGAGCTCTTTATATATTTTGGATGTCAATCCTTTATCGGATCTGTCATTTATGAATATATTCTCCCATACTGTAGGATGTCTTTTTGTTCTGCTGATGGTGTCCTTTGCTGTACAGAAGCTTTTCAGCTTGATATAGCCCCACTTGTTCATTTTTGCTTTTGTTTTGCAAAGTGTAATTATTTTTTAATCCACCACATTACTTAAAAGTATTATGTTTGAAGACACCACATTACTGTCGTTGCTTGTTTTATACTAGAATATAAAATTTAATCTTTTAAAAGGATTTAATTTTTCAAATACTCAGATCTTATTTTAAAATGTAAAATGTACTTGAAAAAATACTCCCAAAATACATTTAGTTTCAGATACTGTTCACCTCATTTGATATTACATAATCTGAAAATGCTTCTTTTAAGCAATTATTTTAAAAAGATAAGCAGTTATTTATGTCAATTTGGATACTTCACATCTAAAAGAGAGTTAAGGTATAAAATTAAACAAATATAATGGAATAAATAAAATTATGAAAATTTCTAAAGGTAAAAAGTCTTTGTAAAAGTTACTGCTAAGTAAATCCTGGAGAGGTAGTTCGTAGTGGCACTCTTAGCAAAATCCCTTATGTGCCTCAGTTTTCCCAGCTTCATCATTAGAAACAAAATTAAAATGTGTAGTTTGTAAATAGTAATCATAGCCAGAATTTAAACAAATGGTTGTAAAATATTTTGAGTTCTTGGAAATGGGTGATTGGAAGGCATTAATTTTCATATTTTAATGGTATAGTATAAACTCAGTGTTGTACAGTTAAAATGTTTTTCAGTTAGTATGTCTGAAGAACAAAAATTTTGAAATATTTTGATCTAAAGATGTCTTCTCTATGTAACTTTTGATTAAAGTAAAAGCAATTAGACAATATTTTTAGCCAGAATTATATCCCTTCTGTATTTATAAGAATAAAATCACATTTCTATTGTAATTACACCTGGATATTTATAGTTATTTACATATCAGGTTGTAGTAGTTCCTTGCTTGGAGAATTAAAATTGTGAATCTGAGCCTTCAGGCTTCTTTAAATTTTCTAGAATGAAATACATCCAAATTGATCTTTTTTATTTGTTGTTTGTTAAATTCATTATGGCACTTAAGTATTTAAAAGTATTTTTACTGCACTTCAATTCCTTTTGGAAAGAAGCAGGGTTTTAAATAATTCATTAAAATCTTTAAAAACTTTTTACCTTACTCAAAATTCATTATAGAAGCATTCACAAGAAAAAAGTTGTATTTTTCTTCTAATTATACATTTTTGCATTTCTGAAAATTAAAGATGTTGTTTTTAAAAGGCCCTACAGTAGGGGTAAGATGTCCTTGAGTTTGGGTTTTAGTTTTGTCACCTATTAGCTCAGTAACTTTCAGCCTCAGTCTCCTGGTTTTCAAAATACAGAGAATACACATCACAAGATTGATTGAACACAATGTATGCAGAATTTCCTTGCAAATTCTATATCAGTATGCATTAACTTTTTTTTAACAGATTGGGGGCATTAAGACTGAGTTTTGTTAATGATTCATGAAAAATAACAGTGCTATTATCCACATAATGCTCATCTGTTCAGAAATTTTAAATTGCAATAATTGTTGGCATTTTTTAACAGGGATAAGCAAACAAGTACCTATCATGGGCCAGAGCTTCTGAGTGCCTGTTTTTGTAAGCAAAATTTTATTGGAACATAGCCACAACCATTTGTTTACATATTGTCTATGATTGCTTTGATGCTAGAAGAGCAGAGTTAAGCAGTTTCAACAGAGACCTTAACAGCCAGCAAAACCTAAAATATTTATTACTGGCCCTTTACAGGAAAAATTGGCCAACCACTAGTATAAAGTAAGTTTAAGTGGCTAAGTCTAGATTTGATTTTAAGTCTCCTAACTCTTATATATGCATTATTTCCTCTAATTTCTTATTATTTCACTAATATTCTGTATAAAATTTGGTTTTGAGGTATCTGATATGCAAACACGTCTTTAAAATTTCAGAGTGAAGGCAATGTTGACCTAAGGCAGATCTACACTCCACTTTCTCCATCAACAGAATTTTCAAGTTCTGTAGATTCTTCACTTTTCTATGCACCCTGGTCTACTTACGGAGATGATACTAAACAGCCTTCTAATTCTCAGATCAATGTAAAGAACAGGTAAATGAATTAGATTTCTCAGGCTAAATGAAGTAAGTTTGATTACATAGGAACCCAGTTATATTAGCTCTTTATTCCCTGTATCATATGTTTATCAGACTTAGAGGAAGCCCTAAACTGGGCGGTTATGTGTGTACAATTTTTAGCTTTAATTTTTTTTATTCATTAGAGGAAGTCTTTAGTGAGTAAATCTTCAGTTTCTCTTTCTAAAGATAGCTTATAGAAATGAATTAAAATTTTTAGATCTATTTTTCATCCAGTTCTAAATTTTAAGTAATTTTTCCTGTAAGTACACAATAAACATGATTTTGTCAGATAATTTAATTTTTCTATTCAAGTCCACGAATAAGGGCCTACTTTATGCCAGATTCTCTCCCACTAGCGTTACTAGAATTACATGGCAAATATTATCCTGGCCTTTTTAGATCTTAAACTAATAATGATGATGATGATGACTTGCCAGGCACTGCAAATATAGTGAGGTTGAAAAGGGAAAGTGTAGAGTATTATGGGAGCCTTTGCAAAGAGAAGCCTATAAGAATGACATCTACTTTTATTTTAATCATATAGTTAATCAGTTGATAGAGGCTGGTGCATCTTTAACCAGTAAGTAATTATTTTGAAATCTTACTAATTATTTAAAATTTAACATTTTTGGTAAGTTCTATAAAAGTGACTTTACTAGAATATATAATTCTACAATAAATATATTTGTTAAGTCAATACATGCTCGAAAAAGTCAGACTTTTCAGAGATACATAAAAGTGAAAATTCACCTTAACCCTGCTACCCTGCCTCCCAATAAGAACTATTAACAGTTGCTATATTACACTAAATATTTTTCTAGATATATGCTAATATATTATACAAAAAACTTTATGAAACATGATGTAGTAGAAAATACTTAGACTTACAGTATTATAAGTATATAATAGTATATAGTAGAAAAAGCCTTAGAGTTATAGGCAGACTATTTGTTCAGTAAGTGTATAAATAAAGTTTGACAAATCATATATCCTTGCATGTTTCTTAATATCTCAAGGGATAATTCATTCAACAGCTGAATGATTACTAATACCTGCCCTTTCCACATTATGAAGATCAATGTAATGTTTGACTGTTATGCAAATAAAAAGTATTTTTATTTCTAAAATGCCTTAACACTATGAAATATTAGAAATAAAATATGGAAAAACAAGAAGTTACCATTTAAAACAACGTATTGTTGCTAGAAACAAATTACCCAAATCCATAGGCAGTAAAAAGGCATCAATTTTCCATCCTCATATGTTTTTTACATTTTGTTTTATTTAGACAGTGTTAGTTACTAGGTAGTATTTCAGGTACATGGAGCTCCAGTTACTACTTTGGCAGGGATGTAGGGATAGCCCCCAAGTCCATTACATTTAAGGGACAACTGGAATATCGCTGTGGTATCTAGAATGACCATATCACATTTCACTTTTTAATCAATATTTAATATAAAGAATAATGAAAATAGGTTCATATGGTTTTCAAATCACAAATGAAAAAACTGAGCAAATGTTGATAGAATGATATGTAACAGAACCAGACATGCTTTCAGGAATAGCCATGGTATCCATGCATGTCTACATCATAGGTCAGAGATTTTTATCTTGCTAACCTAAAATGGATAGCATGTGTTTTAGAGAAATTAGAGATAAACATACATTCTGAACTAGACATAAGATTTGAAATGATGGAGAAATACTTGAGTAGCATAAACACTATGCTAAAGTGGAAAATACTTATTTTAATTAAAGTATCATTGATATACAATTTTATGTTGGTTTCAATTATAAAACACAGTGGTTCAACAGTTACCCATATTATTAAATTCTCACCCCTCCTAGTGCGGTCACTATCAATGTAGTAAGATGTTACAGAATCATTGACTACTCTCCATGCTGTACTACCTTCTCCGTGATCAACTTATATTGTGATTGTGAATTATTGTGTCCCTTTATCCTCTTCCCCTTTCCCCTGTACCCACCCAAGCCCCTCTCCCTTGGTAACCACTAGTCCCTTCTCAGTGTCTATGAGTCTACTGCTAGGAAAATACTGAGTTCCTGTTCCCTCTTTATTTGGAATAATAGTACAGATTCAATCCAAGTGTTTTGTAGAAAAATAATGGTAGAATTAAGTCTGGAAATAGAAATCAAATATATAGCATTTCAGTATGAGCAAAATAATTTACATGTGATGTTCATTTATTCTTAGGATTCAAACAGAAAGAAATGACTATGGCAGTGAAACAGACTTATATGGACTTGTGTCTAACATTTTGGAAGAACAAGATAAGACACAGCCATATTTTGCTGAGGGGTTAGTATATTATATATACTATGTAGTGTATATATACTTTTAAATTCATATAACTAGATTACCCTTTTTATACTTTTATTTTTACCTAATAGAGGATCATCTTGACAATAGACATCTTATTAATTCATACACTTGTTTCTAGAAGTCTTGATTTTGCTGAGGTACTTGCCAAACAGTTGAAAATTTTCAGTCTAAAGTTAAATTTGCTACTAAGAACTTCCACTTGGAAAATTATTCTTACATAATTCAGAGCTTTTCCCTTGAGTCATGAGCTAAAGTTTGTCTTACAGAGTATAAACTCTAAGGAGCTTTTACACATATATCCCAAAGAATAAACAGTCATTACTGCTGTGCAGAAAAATGTATGGATTTTATTCATATGGCAAAAACTTATAAAATATGCTTTGTTTTATTCCACAAATGCCCTATTTCATAAATAGGAAAATATGCAACACACATGTAACCAATTAAAATATTTCAGTTTCAGTAATAGTTCAGCAAAGCACATCTTTCTTCATTACAGAATTGTAGTTAACACTTTTGTATTATATAATAACCCAATTAAAGGAAAAACTTAATTTTTTCCCTGTTACTATAAATAGGACCACGCAGTCTTATCAGCCTCAGGTTAGTTAATGCCTCTTGGGAAAATATGATGAGGACATATTAAGATTAAAATGCATATTTATGTAGTACATAGTTCATTTCAAATGTTGAGAGAATTATTTGGATGTAAGGGCAGCTTATAAGACAAAGCTTGACAGAATTAGAGAATGGTGAAGAGAGGCAATATAAATATTTTTGAAAATCTTTCCTACCTTCTCCACTGAGGAAATAAAGTCTTTCAAAACCTAATTTGTAACTAAATATATTTTACTTGTTCTAGGACCTGCTCCTCCAATTTAAAGGCAGTTTGGCCAATGAATACAAACAGATTTGCAGATCACCATGACCTCTTAACAGAAACCAAAAGGCCAGTAGATACAGCCATCGCTCAGCAAGCTTTTTATAGTGGTGAATCTGTGTCAGCAGTGGAAAAGCAATACCTGCATAATAGTAATCTCACACCACAACAAAAAATAGATGAACTTTATCATGGATTTACTGGTTTAGACCTTGAAGAACAATGGATATACCCCTCACGAAGTGATCATCCTAACTGTTACAATATTCAGACAAATAATACAGCTAAGACAACATTTCAAGAATATTCATTTACCAAAAGCTGTTTTATTCCACAGACTGGTCTGTCTGACATCATGAAAGGATCAGGAGTTGATACTTACCCTTATGGAAGAGAGAAAATATGTGCTAAAGGTCTTGAAGCACCATTACAGCAAAAAAGGGCAGAGATGTTTCTTTCCCAATTTAATAGATACAATGAAAATGCAGATTATTGTAGATACCCAGAATATGCTCATCTTAGTAAGGCTAAGCTGAATAAGTGTTCAAATTTTAGTGTCCAAGACAGTAAAAAATTAGTCAGTGGCACATCTGAAACAGCAACTGTAGAAGCAGACACTTACACAAAGTTATTTCAGGTTAAACCAGCAAATCAGAAAAAAATGGAGGAGACAATTGACCAGCAGAATTTCACATTTCCAAAAACTACACCACTTCTGACAGAAAAACAGTTTGCAAAGGAAGCAGCATTCACTGCTGATTTTGGCTTAAAACCAGTATATGGACTAAAACCTCACACAGCTTGTCCAGCTAATAATGATTTCGCTAATATCACAGAAAAGCAACAGTTTACTAAACCTGACCCCCCAAATTCTGATTATTTTAAATCAGTGAATTTATTATCAAAGTCAGCCCCATCTTCAGGTGGTATTAACTTAAACAGACCAACTTGGATGAATGTACAAACAAAAAACACTCCTATTCCTTATCGAAATCAAGGGAACTTAATAAAATTAAATAGCCATTTAAATGCAGTTTCAAAAGGTTCTAACCATTCTAAAGATTTCCCCCAACTATCATCTACAAATTTAACCCCAAATAGCAATTTATTTCAGAAGTATTGCCAAGAAAACCTTTCAGCATTTTCTGGTTTTGATTTTGGTTACAATGGTGCAGAAAGAATTCAACCTGTGGATCACATGGAAGCACTGACAAAGACTGGAGAAGAAAATCTCTTTGAATCGGTTACTGATAAAAAAATAAAGCAGCCAAATGGATTTTGTGATAACTATTCAGTTCAGCAGTATGGAATCACTGAAAATGTAAAACATAATTTTCAAGCTAAGCCCCAGAATGGACGTTATGATCCTGAGGAAGGTCCAAAGCATTTAGATGGCTTATCTCAAACTACATATCAAGATCTGTTGGAGTCACAGGGTCATTTTAATAGCCACAGACAGGGAAGTGGAGACAACAATATTAATAGCCATGTGAATCGTGCACAGACGTCATGTTTTTCTAATAATTATATGATGGGAGATTTAAGATATAATCAGAGTTTTCAACAACTTGGTTCAAATGGATTCCCCCAAAGATCTGCCCACCCATTTGGACATTCAGTTGTTCCACTGAAGGAGTCCTATGATTTGCTTTCTTATGATGACTTAAACCGTTTATACCCTTATTTTAATGATATGATGTATGGTGATAATTCCTTCTCTGGTTTCATGCCAACTTTTGGATTTCAAAGACCAATTAAGACCCGTAGTGGACCAGCCAGTGAGCTTCATACTCGTCTAGAAGAGTGCTATGAACAATGGAGGGCATTAGAAAAGGAGAGAAAAAAGGTAACACAAACCTGTTCATTTAGGAGTAACTTAGTGTGTCCCCTCTGCTTATTTACTTTAAGAGTACTGGCCTTATTTTTAAATTGAATTCTATAATGTGCAGTGTTGGTTAAGTCCATAACTATGTGGAATTAGAAAGGTGACTTAAAAAAAGGTTGGGTTTTAAAAATTATTTATGTAAATTTTGTTTTGCCTATGAAGTAGACTTTTTTTTCCTTGATGGGTTAAAAGTTTATTCCTTTGAATTTTTTGAAGTATTAAAATAGTTGGAGTATTCACATATTTTATATGCATTAAGGATGACCGAAAAATAGTGTGGTACTGTGGTTTGTATTTGTTGCCTTTTGATACCGAAACAGAATTCTTAATTTAAAGGAGTCATTTTCAATTTATTACTTAGGCCTGTAAGAAACATTATTCATGATTGAATCACATTTAGAAAGTTTAGCATCTAAAAATTATGCAATTTTTTACAGACTGAATTGGCCCTTGCCAAGAATTACCCAGGAAAAAAAGTATCCAGTACTAACAATACTCCAGTTCCACGGCTGACCTCTAACCCTTCTAGAGTTGATCGCTTAATTGTGGATGAACTTCGAGAACAAGCCAGAGTAAGCTGTAAAAACATCCAATGGTGGAGTTTTTAACTGCTTGATAAAATTATGAAACATTTAAGCAAGTTAGTTTTGAGGGATTTTTAGATCACATTTATGTGTTATTCTCTGAAATATATCCTTTTCCATGTTTGATCTTAGAATTATGATTAATATTTAGGAAAGGGAAAAATAGTTCCACTCAATCATTTCAAAAACTGGTTTGGTCGTTGAAATGGTTCCTCTCCAAGAAACCCAAATTAGCCACAGAGCTAATCCTCAACAGAATTTTTTTTACAGCAAAAACCACTGTGAATATTATTTATAGGGAAAGTCCCATTTCTTAATCACAAACATTTGTTTTCTAGCCTGATGAGCAAGCTATGCTTGCATTATACAAGATGGTAAATTAATAGGGAATTACCATATTTCATTTTCTTAACCCTGCTCTTCTGAGTTATTCAACAAACATCAAGTAGACCAGCAATATATTAAATAATAATAAACTGAAGTAAGTGGGTATGTATAATTTTATAAAATAGCCTTGTTTTGGAAAAGTATATCACTTCAAATCAAATGTAAAGAATCCTGATGTTAGGCCATTTTGTAATTTAATAAATGATCATTCCTATTACCTCCTTTTGATTTTCAGAATTTTCTAAGCAACTTTAATAGAGTAAGGTCAAGTATTTTATTTTTTTACTTTCCTCTCATAAAAACTTACAAATAAAATTTTTTCAAATAAAATTTGATAAAGATCCTCAGGAAAAAGCATGCAGTGAAACAGGTTGCTTTTATGATTAAATAAAAGCCATTTTAGGAATTAGAAAAATCAACATAACAATCAATTTTATTGAACATCATTTTCTTACTTGTACCATGCTGTCTTTAAAATATAGATACAAGCTACGTTGGTGGAAAAAGATTGAATGGACCTAGCTTTCAGCTTTGGTCAATTGATGTTCTTTATCAAATTTATAAATCTATACAATAGAATTTATCAACGGTATATCAGTTACAGACATAGGTTACAGCCAGATGTTATATAAATAAAAATTCAGTCTTTTTTTCTTAAAACTGTTCCAAGTTAAATTCCTTTTCTCAGCAATATATTTCTAGGCAATAAATCAAAGGATCACAAACTGTGGATATTGAGAAATATACTTTTCCAGCTTTGCTATAGTTCATGTTTAGAGTATGTTTATAGCCGCTAAAGTAATTTTGTTTTATCTATATTTAGTAACATTAGATCAATAATACACAAAGGGCAAAAATATTTTTATACTTGCTACTTTCTAGTTTGCTGGTTTTGTAGAATTCTGAAAAAAAACTTTTAGAAGTTGATTAAAAATCACCTTTGCAGATTTTTCTTTACACTTACCACTTTCAATACACTTAATCATTTATTCAAAATGATTGTCTTACTTAAAAAACATGTAATTGAGATAAAAATTTTTTAAAAAAACATGTAATTGATAGTTCACTGGAGTTTTTTCACTGTTGTGTTTTTTTCTTGTTTTGTTTTCCCATCGAGGATCTGGGAAAACTGTACATTCATGTACAGTTGAGAGGAAAATATATTTAATACCTATGTACTTGTGTTTTCCTGATGGGCCTGACCTGGCATAGACTTATTCCAAAGAAACTTAATATGAGCGAGCATGAGGTTAAAGATATTCATTCAGGTGCCAGTATCTTCTTAACTTAGATGTATTTTTCTACTTCAATCATTCAACACCAAGTGAATTATGTGAATTTTGAATCATTTAGTTCCCAAAGGCAATTACTGTATTTATTCAATGTTCAAATCCTAATTATTCAAAAAGTTCTCTCCCTTATACCTTCCAAGTTCAGAATTTGAAAGAGGGTAGGTATATACAACTATGAAACATACTATCTTATAAACCTAACAATATCCAGTGCCCTTTTTAAGCTTAGTTAACCAGAAGATGGAGGGACTTCCTAATTTTCCTTAGCAGCTTTGAAAATTCTAAGACTTTATATTACTTTATTTCATATTACTCAACAAAAATTTAAATCAGTATTTTCTGGATTAGGGATGCCTTAAAATTACCACTAGTCAGTATTATCTAAATGTTATTTCCAGAAGGAGAACATTGGAAGCTGATAAGGATTTGCAGAGGTCAGGATTAATCAATCCAGAAATTCTCCCTTATAGCTTTTTTCCCCTTTATATTACCTCCTGAAAATGCTGCTTGTAGGCTATTCTTATATTGCCAAAATAAAATCTCAGATTTTGTATTTGCACTTAACTTTAATGACATGGAAATCTTTGAATGTTTGACTTTTTCATTGTTGCTTATTCCTAGTAACTGATAACCTGAAAGGGCTTTAGAATTAACATATACAGGTAGGTACAAAAGTCTAATTTTTCATCTTCGTTTCCCCTAGCATGGCATCAGGACACAATAATCATTCAGTTACTTATTAAATGAGTGTTGTTGCTTTCATCTCAATTCTGCTTCTATTGAAGATTTGTTTTTATTTATGTTAATGACAAAGCAATGTAGTAGTTACATGCCTTACCAAAATTTAAAATGTTTCCCTCAGGTTGTGACTTTACTAGGCAAAATGGAACGTCTTCGAAGCTCTCCCCTTCATGCCAATATCTCTACTGCTCTTGATAGACACTTGGAGTCCATTCACATTGTACAGTCACGTAGAAAGGATGAAATCGTTAATACTTCAAATCGACAAAGGCAAGGAGTTCCTAGATGCCAAGATGACAGAGGTACAGATATTAGTGCATATTCTTTGGATAAGACAATGAAATAATTTGGAATGTTAATAAAATAAGATTTTGAGGTTAAAAGGTTGGATTTCTAAAATTTACACTTTAAAGAAATAAACTGGCAAATGATGCCCACATAATTTATTCCAAAAATACTTTGATCTATTTTATTAATTTTATCCATTTATTATTACTCTGTCAAAGTCTGTGTTCTATCCAAAGCAGTCATTGTCATACAAGTCAGAAATAAAGTATCAACACTCTTAGATATTAAGTCAAGTACTTAGCCATCCTTCCTTTATAATAGTTAATAGACATCCTTTTTATAAGAATATTATTTGATTATTGAGTAGCATGGTATTGGGCTTTGTAAGAGTTGAGGGACTCTTAAATGGTATCTATTAAGAACTGTTTCTTTTACAGACGTTTTTGCCCTCGCTTCAGCAATTAAAGAGATGTGTGTGGCTACTCGGAAAGCACGCACTACCCTGTGGTGTGCTCTGCAGATGACCTTGCCCAAAACAGCCAGTACAGCTGGCCAAACAGATGTGGAAAAGGCTTTACAAGATACAGCAAACTGTGAAGATAAAGTCCATGAAAGCATAAATAGTAGCAATCCAGTGAGCCAGAGAGGTGAAGCGAACAAACATTAAGGAAATGTCAGCAGAAAAAGGAATAAAAAGCTGTTAAGTTAATGTATCAAGACATGCTAAAAAATTTTAATGAACTTGTCAAACTTGAAAATTTCAGTACATTACTTTTCTTTCAGATTTAAAGTTAATACCCTAATGAAGTCTAACTTCTATTTAAAAAATCTTCTGTTTGGAATGAATCAGATATAGTTTAAAGTGAACTCAAAGGTAATGTTGACTACTCTAGGAGTTCCGAGTAGTCAGATAAAAAGTTTAAGTTGAATATTTCCTAACAGCTAAAATATTCCTTAAGTTCATTCTGCAGTACAGGTAAATGCAAATGTGAAATTCTTCTCGAAGATGTTTCATTTAGGGCTGTCTTAGTAAGTATAATTCCAAATAATGAATCTAAGTGACTGTAACCTAATTACGGCTACAGTCTAGTTAACCAAGACAAGTTTTGATTGTGATGTAAAAGCATTTTCCTTACAAAACTGGATACCTAGGAAACAGGAAAGTAAGGATGAACCCAAAATTCATGTAAAAATTGAATATTTAAAATACTACTGTATTTATAAATTTGAAATCTTAATACCTAAGTATATGGAGGGAAAAAATGCATCTGATTCTCCTAAATTAGTGATAAAAGTGCCAGTGTAAAAACCATGCAAGTTACTGAATATAGAACCAGTTCAAATCACTTGTATATATTCTTTAAAATTTAATTGTATTATCAATTATTCAATATTTCCAATTTTAAAATATTTAAATCAAATCAAAAACAAAACATTTCCTTTATCTGGATCTTTAGACTTGGTACACAGTAACTAAAATAATGACTTGTTTTAATACCCTTAGTTTGCTGTCTTTGTAGAGGGTATCACGAGGTTCTAAAATGTATTTTTTTAAGGTTAATCTTTAATTTAGTTTGCAGTTGGTTAGTGTATATTTTATGTAGTTGTGTTCATTAGTTTGCTTCTGTATTTTTTTAAAAGAGCTCTTCAAAGCTTGGCTTTTTCTGTTTCTTATCACTTAATATCTTTGTATGGAACCTGAGTAATTTATTCACTAAAATGAAATATTGGTATTATGTGACTCAGAAGATCTTGGGTTTTAATAACATTTCTAGCATGAGTTAAACTATAATGTACTGATGAAATTTAATTGAACTATCCTTGACTAGAAACACTGATGTTTTAAATGTTGGTGTTTTTCCTAGGTTTAGAAATCCTGGTATTAAAAAAAAAAGTGTAATCACACCACATAAATTTTCTTTAGATGATGTGCGGAAGAAACTGATAGAGAATGCAGGAGTAACTGTAGGGAGAAACATTTTGATCACTGATATGCCTTAGAACCCAAATGAATTACATTGAGGGTAGTCAAATAAAATAGATCACCCCACCAGTCACTGCATAGAAAGTGGTTAAGTTTAACATAAGACATGTTGGATGTTATGTAAGCAAAAATGTACTGAATTTAGTGTCTCAGGGAAAATAAATTACTTTGTTGAAAATACTTGGTTTCTTTTTTTGTGTTAGTTTCTAACCTTAGAGTCACTTATGTTAGAAAACCAATCAAATTCCTTTTAAATAGGAACAATTGCTAAGTTTTAAATTTCATTATAACACATAAGAATGTTGGTAGATAAACCAGTGTCATTCAGCTATCCTTGGATATATAACCTGACTTCCTTCAAAGATGAACTTTTTATCGTCTTTATCTCATCCCAGGCAAAGCAGAATAAAAATCCAGGGAAAGCTTTTACGTGACAGTGAACAGAAATGAATACTAGCCCATTAACAAAAACTAAACACAAAAATTATTTTAAATTTTGTTAATCACATCACCCTGTAGAGAATTCTCAAGTTAGTCAGTTGTCCCTTTCTATTTCTATGGCATACCCTCTAGTGGATAGTTCTTAGGTATTACACTTAAGAATTACAACCTGTGAAAACAAAGTTAACACAAGATTTGTAGTGAAATTCCTGAAACCAATGCACCCATCATTTCTAATCCAAAATAATTTGGTATACTCAATTTTTTAAAAATAGCAAAAGCAATTTATATGAAGGTGGTTGAAAATTACCTTGAATTGTATCAGCGTTCTCACTTGATCATCTGCCACTTTGAAGTTGTCCTTTTTATTTTTGAAATTTTGCCCTTTGCAATATTGAACATTTTACACATAAGGGATTTATTAGCACCTGAGTTAAGTGGATAACCTTACTCAAAGCCTAATGAGCTGGCCTTTTTTTTTCTGTTCACTCATTAGTTCAAGGGTACACTTAACTGTAATATATATAATAGAGTCCCAGAAAGAACTGACTACTGTTTTAACAGATTGAAACGAGTACCCTTCAGGGGGTCCATGGATATAACCTGCCCACTTCAGAGACCAAAATCAAGGTGAGAACAAGCCAAATATCCAAAATAAAGGTTACCAAATTCAAACTGGCTCTCTTATAAGCTATCTATAGCCACAGCCTATTGCTACTGCTACATAAAGGACTCAGGTTCCAGTAGTCCTTCAAAGCCAATTTACTGTCTTTCCAAAAAAAAGGGTTATCTTTCTGATCTAATACCTAACCTCCCAGAAAGGAAAACTGAGGCAGAGAGTTTATGGATTCCAGGAAGAGGTTCTGCTAGTATTATAGATTATTGGCTAACCAAAACAAAATAAAAGTAAAATTCAACACATTCCTAAGTGACTATCCACAGAGAACTCATTTCCAGGGTAGCTGGAAGGAATAAGAATAAATCAGAAGACAGTGATTTAAATAGTTTATTTTTAAGTTTTTTTAAATTTTTGCAATGCCAAGATAACAGGAGTGTATAGAGGTGACATCATTTCTGTATTCTATGCTTTTTACCTTCTGCACAAAGGTAAAACATTTTGTTAATTTCATATAGTTAATGGTATAAAACAGAGGTCAGCAAATTTTTCTCCAAAGGGGCAGACAATAAACATATCAGGCCTTACAGGCTGCATAAAGTCTGTCACATATTCTTTCTTTTACAACCCTTTAAAAATATAAAGTCCATTGTTAGCTCGCGCGATACAAAAACACTGGGCCAAATTTGCTTGCTGGCAGCAGTTTGCTGACTCCTGGTATAAAATAATCTACTTCCTGTCATGTCAGAGAAACTGTTCTCTAGGCTTCCTGACGGTCTACTACCTGAAGCAGAGAAAGGCCTTATTTACAGTTGAATGTGGCTTGTGACAAAAATGAAAGTAGAGTGTTCCTGCTCATTTCTGACTCTCCCACTTTTTCCATTCATTCACTCATTCAATAAATGCGTTGAGTACCTACTCTGCACACTCTTAAATATCTTTGTGTCAGCAGAGATTTCCAGTGTTTCTTCTTTAAAAAGGTGAAGGTTTCTCCAGTTTATTTAAACCTGTAATTATCAGGTCTTCATACTCATACTTTAGGGCAGATCAGGATTAAAATCTCTACTAGCACTCAAGAGGATTCATGCTTATAAAAAAAGAATCTAGCCAATAACAATGAGATCCTTGCACCCAATACACATCCTTAAAATCACAGCCTAGATGAGGAAAAATCTGTAACTATCTCTACTTAAAAAGATACTTTTCCTCAAATAGGCTGAACCTCTTTAAAAAAAATATTTCTAGAGCTTCCAACAAATAATTTCTTCTCATTGTCCTAGTTTGTTGCCATGTAACAAACTCTAAATCCAGGTAGGGCTCTTCATTAGCTTTCTAGTTCAGCCATCAAACAGCACATTTAGGGATGAATACTACTTCTGAAGCAATGTATACTCATGTTTCATCTCAGGAAAGGAGTGACCATGATTCTGCTCCCTCAGGATAAAAACTTAACAATCAGCTTTTGGAATATTCCTGCTGTTTCTCCAAGGTGAGGGAAGACTTTTTAAAGTGGCTAAAATAAGCACAGGAGTTCAGTATTAAAATATAATGGTTGCCCCTATTCCAGACCTTTGCTACAGATATCAACTATAATCTGATTACCTACACCACACAGACATGGCACATTCTGTAATTAGAAGCATTTGTGATTTTCCTTTAATCCACATAAACAGAAGGGGAAAGCCTTAGGAAACCACTTTGCAGTGTTCTCATTTCTCTTGAATACACATGTGCAAAACCAGTTCTCACTTTGATCAAGTTCATGAGGAGAACAGAGTGGATCAAGGTTATCGCTTTCGTTCCCCTCTTTGTGTCCTTTTCTTTTCCTTTTCCTTGCGCTCCTGCTTGGCTAGTTTGTCCCTCTCCCTCTGCAGCTTGTCCTGTTCCTTCTTCCTTTGGGACTCATCCCGAAGTGAGTCTCGTTCCAGTTTTCGGGCATTGAGGACATCTTCCACATTGGTGTTTCGGAACAGAGCTACAGATGAGTTAAGGGATTAGAGTGTAGGTCACACAGGTGCCAACTACTGCTCTTTCCTCATTCTTGCTGTCCTTTCTCTACATGCTAAGTCTTAAATATTCTCTACCTATTCCTTAAAAAGAAAAAAACGCTATGTTTATTTTTGATCTAATGCAAAACCCTACAACTACCATTACAAAAGTTTAAAACTAACTGCCAGAATAAAAATCTCATCCACACTGGACTAAATTTGAATGTTAAAATATTCTATGAAAATGAAATTTCATTCTAGAATATGTACTTACATCATTCAATGGCAGGATATTGTTGGATTATCTAGGCTAATTTAGTGAATAGAGTATTAATGTAACCTGTCAATTTTTTATGTACTTGGCACTAATAAAATGCTTGAAGAGTTAAATAAGTTAACCTTACTAAACTTTATCAGTTTGTTTTTCCTAGACCACTAAAGCTTAAGTGAAAACCATGTTCTACTAACCACAAACTGAATTTATAAGACATGAAATTTAACCAGTTAGAAAATACCTAGACAAAAAACTTTACCCCCATTTCTTGTGACTTTAACCTGTTACTACCAGACAAGCTCTCTCTACTCTTAAAAGATGTTTTCTGCGTTAGTGCTTTAAAACATGTAAGTTTTCTTGAAATAACCTTTCCTTCTCTGATAACCTACCATATTTCTCACCTTTAAGAAGGTGGGTTTCTAAATTTAGAAGCTTCTCATAAGTGATTCAGTTGGTAGGGACTTACCTCAGCACATGTTATAATCTGTCCATACTTTCAGCTTAAAGTATTCAGTGTTCGTTCTCTTTCAAACAAATAAGGTCTTTGAGGAATAAGAAAACTTCAATATTATTTTAATTGCTTCCAGTGCTGGGAAACCCAGTGCTATAAAAGGGATTACAGATCCTTATTTTCCCTTAGAAATCCTTCCTCTAAGTTTTCCTCTAATGTTAGCATGT